AAGGTGTTTCTACTCACCCTGATTAGAGAAAGCATTCTTTTGTTATCCCGCCTTGTTTGTTACCAGCCTGTTTTGGAAAGGCACTATTAATGTGGAAAGGTATATATAGGTTTTAGAGCATGAAGGAATTTTTATGGAGGCTTGGATGAAGCCTGAGTGATGAGGGAGAGGCAGTGACGAAGAGGAGCTGGGTTGCACGAAGGCATCTGCAAGGGAGAATGTCAGATGTCATGTGAAAGTGAGATTTAAAGTAGGCGGAGTGAAGGCTGATTGGGCTGAAGAAAGCTGGCAGAAAGATGATTGGACTAGATCGGTGATGTCACAATTAGCTTGACAGCGTTGGAAAGTGAAAGTGACTTAAAGCTTAGATTAGTTGTCAACACCTGGGAAAGCAGACAGATGTAGACTTCAGATCTTCCTCATCGAACTTACACATAAGCTACACCAGCACGACTAGAGTAGAAGTCTGAGTTCTGAACCGACATGCATGCAGTCCAGACCCTTTACCTCCTAAAAAGGTTTGGAGCATCATGAAACAATAAATGCAACAACGAAGACCGAGGACTCTTGAGCAGCTAGAATCCTATATCATATTTATATCATATTTTCTCAGTCCCACACATTTACAGACTGTTGTTAAAGGAGGATGGGATGCTACACAGTGGTAAACACGGCCCTGTCCCTACTTTTCTGAGGCTTGTTCATGTCATCAAACTTAAAATAAGTCAATATTTGTCTTGGTATGGTACATTTTCTCAGTTTAAACATTTGCTATGTTTTGTTCTATTGTGGCGTCGTAGGTTTTATTTATTTCATTTTAGTTTTAATGTGGAAGTTTTGTGTCATTCTACAATATCACAGTTCAGACTCATTTCTAACAATTACTGTTTGTTTGTTAAGTCTTACTTCACTTTACTTTGTTCGGGAACTCTACTGCTATTTCAGTGTGCATCTTAATGTCCAGTCTGTTCTCAGAGACCATTTTCACACAGTGTTACACACAGCACACTTTTGTGTTCAACGTTTAATTGGACCAGAGAATATGAACCTCCTGTCACGCTCAAAAAATAAGGAGTGTCTGCACACCAAGCCTTGCGTGTTTGATGACCTCCATTCATGTGACAAAAAGGAATTTAGCTTCAGATTCCACAGAGTGGCTGACTAAATCTGTCAGATATTTTTAGTGACCATTGAATAGCTTTGACTGGATGATCTGATATCGTCATGCTGGTGTTGTTTCTGGAACAACATGGTAAATGTTGTTTCGGGATCAACATTGCAAGTGACCAATCACATTGTTGTGATGTTATTCTTTGGCGCGCCAAGCCATTCGTGCATTTATGAAATTCCAATGTTGCAAGGACAATATCAATTCTGCTTAGCGATTATTAAAGGGTTAGGGTCAGGGTCCATTGATCGGCGGACAGAGGCGGTTTCTCGCAGCTTAAGTACAGATTCTTGTTTTACGGCGATTTTTTCCGAAGTCGCAAAATTATGACATTCTGATTGGTCACTTGCAATTTTGATCCTGGAACAACATTTACTATGTTGATCTGGGAACAACACCAACATGACGATATCAGATCGTGCGCTTTGATTGATGTCATCTAACAGGTTGCATTGGATTTGGATAAGTTTTGAATTGTGATATTTTTAGTTCTTTTAAGTACAAGTAGAGTAAAATTTGAGGAAACAAAATGTATATTCACTGCTACTATTTGTATGTCACTTTTAAAAGTTTTAATAAAGATGTTCAGTTTTTTCTGTATTACAGCTTTACTTTTAATGGTGTTTCCAAAACACAGAAGTATATCAGAGAAATGTATTGTAGCTCCACCTTTGTGCATTGGTGGAAAAGTTTCGGGTTTGACTGAAATGAAACTGAAAAACTGACAATGCATTAAAAAGATGCAACAACAGGTGACAGGTCACACAGTGGAGCACCGCTGTCAGGAGCACAGGTAGGCTGCTGGGCAGATAAGTGTGTTTAAGCGTCTTTAATTTAATATTTGTTTTTTTTTGTTCTTTAAAAAAAAAAAAATATATATATATATATATATATATATATTATATAACAAATTATAAAAACATCCAGGTTTATTTTTCCGTTAGTAAAATATAAGTGACTTAGAGATTAAAATTCAAGCATTTGACACTAGATTGAATTTAAAAAAAAAAAAAAATCTGTGATGCATCTTGACACATGAAAACTTGGAGTTTCATTTAAGACAACATTTCCTAGGATTTTAATCATTGATTCAAGTTTCACTCATAAAACAGAACAAAGAAATATCGAGTAAATCAGCAACTTTTTAATCATCACATTAATTGCTTGTTAACTCACTTTTATTCCTGCATAAACTAAAGAATTAATAATAAATAAATAAGAATTCATTTTACAATGTGAGGTAAAGACTTTGATATTCTTGAGAAAACCTCAATAATCCAGAAATTCCCCATTTGTAAGCACTACTGCAATGGTGGGAAATAAAAGCTCCCTTTCCACAGGACAAACCTCCGGCAGAACCAGTCCTCCTGGCAAGAAGTGCCTCAACCAGTTGGAGAGGTGAGGAGAAAGTGAAAGGAAAATAGAAAGAGAGCGTAAGACAGGACAAAACACAGGCTGCAAAAGAAAAGACAAGTGAATGACATGCTGCAGTGGTATATATGTGTTTAAGAATGTGTTTAAAAGAAAAATCATTGTGCCTTGGGCCTTGCTTAGATGTTATCTAAAGTCACGTAAATTAAAATACATAACTTTAGACTGCATGTCTAGTGTTTCACAAGTTGTAGAACAGCAAGTTGTTATCATTGATCCTGATCCAGGGTATAGGGTATGTGCACAGCTATGCATGAGTTATGTGTGTAGGTGTGTAGAGAAATGAACTTGGGTTGACTCAAATAAAATATAATAATATCCATTGTCGAACTCTAAAAATAGATTATGCAGACACTGTGAGTATAGTGTGTATTAGAACTGTGATGATTCAATCAGTAACTCAACTTAATTAAAAAACAAATTCTGCATATATGCTTAATAAACATCGTGTTATAACATTATATAGCTAAATGTAGTCTAAATATGCTGTTAGCTACTTCAAGTTGATTTGGATTACTATAAAACCACAAGTTATTTTGATTGTTGCTTTTAATTTTATTTTACTAGGCATTTATTAGTTTATTACTGAAAACTGTTTGAAGCTATAATGTTACAGAAACAGAACTTTCCCTATTTAAATTCCTGTTTTCATCTGGCTCTGTGTGCAAGACTGTAACATGTAATCTGTAACACTAGAGGGTGCCTAATCACTGTCCACACATCTCCAGATTGACATCAAATACTCCATGACTACAATATAAGTGATTTAGAGATTTAAATTCAGACATTTTACAATAGCTGTAATTAAAAAAAATCCTCAAAACTCAAAATTCCCCAAGACATAAAACTTTAGTTCTAGCTCTTTTTTTTTTTTATTATATGAATTTGTATTGAATCACCCTCATGGGTGGATCACAGATTACTTATTTAATTCTTCCTCCATTAAGATTGAAAAAATAATGCACAACGAAAAATAATACACTGTAAGTCAAAATCTACTGATCACATTTTCTGGACAGTGCATGTCTTTATACCTGCTTGTTTGTACCTTATCAGTCCCCTACAGATACTCAACTCATCCAACATGGAGCAACACTTCTGTCACTGCGGCGTCTTTCACAACTTACCATGGCCTGAGAGTTCACCAGGGAAAGAAGGGCTGCACACCAAAGGGAATGAGGATCCCTGAAAGTGGGCAATCTAGTTTCCATCCTATGCCGGCCTTTATGGGATCTCCAATCAGACGAGAGCCTTCGATGGGCATGTGTATGAGTCTGGATTATAGTGAGTCTACCAATGTGTTTGTACAGTGGTCAGTTTGTGTTGCTACAGGGTCGGGGAGTGACTATCTAACTAAAACTCACTGGTTTACAGTGATAATCTATTTTCATGTTTTAGATAATTACTTTTTTTTAGAATATTTGCCCCATATTTGTCAAACTTACATCAATTAAATCTACAGTTTCATCAAACATGATTTCTTTTTTGCCATCTCCTACGATATTTAATATGTACTATGGCTTGGTTTTTACAGTTTCTGCACTGAAAAAACAAAGACAAAAACACATAGCTGATAACTGATCACTGGAGGATTGTCTGATCCTCCAGTCAGACAACCACAGTAATATGCAGAGTTAGATGTTTAAGTTAGTTCATGACAGGAACAAGACTCTGAAGAACAACATGATAACATTGATCTTCTTTTCTTACAGGGGCTCAAGAGAGACAAGACCGAGAGAGAGAACGAGCAAGACAAGAACGAGAGAGACAAGAACAAGAGAGAGAAGAGCGAGAGAGAGAACGAGCAAGACAAGAACGAGAGAGACAAGAACGAGAGAGAGAAGAACGAGACAGACAAGAACGAGACAGACAAGAACGGGAGATACAAGAACGAGAGAGAGAAGAGCGAGAGAGAGAACGAGCAAGACAAGAACGAGAGAGACAAGAACGGGAGAGACAAGAACGAGAGAGACAAGAACGAGAGAGACAAGAACGAGAGAGACAAGAACGAGAGAGACAAGAACGAGAGAGACAAGAACGAGAGAGAGAACGAGCAAGACAAGAACGAGAGAGACAAGAAAGAGAGAGAGAAGAACGAGAGAGAGAACTAGAGAGGGAAAGGGAGAGAGAACGGGAGAGAGAGAAGGCTAAAAGGCGACAAAAGGTACTGCAGTTTCAACACAGTGAATATACAGTCATTCATTACCAGTTTCATCCTCCAAAACTGAAGCACAAGGTAGTACCTCACAGACAATCCTGTCTGATAATTCCATTAGAAAAAGCACAGAGGTGGAGTTCAAATACTCAGATTACTTGAGGTAAAGCCTGAAATAAACACATTAACAGTTAGGTAATGAACTGGCTGTTTGTCTAGCTTCACCAGGAGGTTAACATTTGTGACATGGCTCAGGTAACTAATGCTTTTTTATGACAAACCTGAAAAATGTGTGACTCTAGTACTGGCAAATCCAAACTACGCAGTGACTCATAGAGCTGCTGACATGACTGCTAGTATAAGACTTATAACCTGTATAAACTTTGAGTATTTTAACATTTTCCATTGTCCCTTTTCAAGGAAAGACAAGAAAAGATGAAAGCTGATTTACGGCAGAAAATTGATTCCCGAGACCACAAGATGGCCGAGGTCAAATCATCTGAAATAAACTGCAATGTAAAGACTGCAACATTTTTTTAAAAAAAAGAAAATCCTTTATTTTGATATTGCTTTGACGCCGTTACTCTCTTATGGCTATTCAGAGTAGCTTGGATGCCGAATGGCTGGAGATCAACAGTTTCTTCTCAGAGGTGATGAAAATTGCGGAGGATGCTAAAGAGAAAGCATGCCAGACTGTGGACGACAGGTTGGTCCTGTGAGGCATATAGAAGTTAGTCTGTCAGCATCGTTGAAGAACATTTTAACATCGCAAGGATTCTTTGTGCTCCTTTGGTGCATTATGTTTTAATAAAATGGATTCCCACGTGCCCTCTCTGTTATCTTTAGGAGACGGAAAGTGAAAAGAGAAGCACAAGATCTCACCCACAAGCTGCAAAGAGAAATTGATGTGCTCAAAAAAGCCACTGATGACCTAGACAACAACCCAGACTTGGAGGTGAACCTCAAGGATCTGAGATCCATCTACTGGAGCATAAATTCCCTTAAAAGAGGAAAAATTTCATTTACAACATCTGTGCATTTTCAGTGTTATTTCTGATTTATTCAAATTAATCGTGCCTGCTGTAAGCTAACTTTTACCTTTGCACACATGCACAGCTTTCTCCTGTAACAGGCCTGAAAGAATCTGATAACTGGAAAACTTTATGTGACAACACTTCACTCTTCTTCGGGACACTGCGAGGTACGACTTCAGCCATGATGAAGCAAATTGGCCAGGAAATAGAAAAACTCGCATCCAAAGGTAAGTCTTTTGGTCTCTCATGACTTGTATTAATTTAACTTTAGACATACTGCAGCTTACTCAAATGTGTGTTTCCACAGACCTCGAGAGGATTTCTACATTTGGAGGTGTGTATTTAAAAAAAAAAATTACAGCAGTATAAAAACAATGTTAACAGTGAGTAAAAACAGGGAACAGGTGTGCATGTCACAGTTTGCTGGGCAAGCCGTGCGTAAATTATTAAAGGACCCTTTATGCAGGCAGCTCAGATGCAAGTGAGTTTGTGATACAAACAGATACGACAAGGGTGACCATGGAAACTAAGCAAAACCTAAACTTGGAAAACTAACAGAAACAAACCAGAAGTAGAGATGCAGGGAGATTCAGGGAAACGACTTGGGAAATACACAGACGAACCAGCAACGCACACCAGAAAACACAGAGCTTATATACACAAAGAGGCAATCAGGAAATGAGAAACGGGAGGAGACACAGCTGGGGAAAATTGGAGCTGACGAGACTGACAGATATAAAAACAGAATACAATAACCTGAGACACCGACCTTCAAAATAAAACAGGAACTCACACATACAAAGAAACAGACTTTACACAGAGGGAACACACAGGTAGGGATGACTAACACTAAACTGAAGAAGAACCGAACCAAAACCAATGAGCTAGAAACCACAACCAGAATATATTACAATAATAGAAAACACAAAACGCTGGGTCAAATAACCCAGGACCATGACAGTGCGCCAGATTTTCAAAATAAAAGCCCTGTTTTATTTTAAATTTTCCTTTTAAAGGAAAACCAATATGCTTATAAAATAATAACGACATTTTCAAAATTAGACATCAGTTTGATACAGTAAGTCAGTTTTCAGAATAAAAGCCTTTGATTTCAGTTTTAAACATGTTTTTAATTTCTAGAGTTGAATTTGTTCTTTTGCTAAAGTTAAGTAATTTCTAAGCACAATTTAGTATGCACTTCCCCAATCTGGATATTATTTTCTCATGTAATTTTCTGCGTTTGTTTAGAAAATAATGGCAAAGATCAGTTTAATATTATCCAGAATTTATTTATTATTTTTCACTTGTTATCCTGTTAATCCCGACAGCTGGTGATATAGAGAAACCATATAACACAAGATTTGTTGTTTCTGAACTGGGTGGGCAACCCATCCATCTTTTTCCTAAAATTCAACAAAATGAATTTGTTGCATTTGAATATTGTGAGAATTGAAATCTAGCACAGATATTAGACAAATAACATTAAAAAACATTAACAATAAAACAAATTAAAGCCCTAGCTGGCTAAGCAACCCGTTTTATTTAGTAAGTCTTCTCTGTTACGGTGAGGTCTGGAAAGGTCAGTCTGATTGGACTCCATCAATACTTAGTGCCTTGGTGTGATGGAGCCCTTTAACAAAAATGTTGATTAAAAAAAGGAATAAAGAGTGATTTTTATGTGTTGACCTATGTGTGATGTTTATAGATCTACTTACCACATGGTTCAGTTTTTTTAATTAAGTGTATTCTTTTGACTGTAGTGGACGTGAAGCTGGACCCGACTTCTGCACACTCAAGTCTTGTAATTTCTGATAATGGTAAAGAAGTGAGAAAAGGTGGAAAAACAGCAAAAGATCCTAATTCTCCCCAGAGGTCTGATATATTTGGAAGTGTCCTGGGGCTCAACAGGCTGACATCAGGGAAATCATACTGGGAGGTGGAAGTCAGCAACAAGACCGGGTGGGATGTGGGTGTGGCCAGATGTGATGCTTACCGCAAGGGGAATTTTTTAGTGACCCCTGACAAAGGTTACTGGGTTATTGTCTTTTATGGAGACAAAAAATACGCAACCCGGACAATACCGCCCGTGTACCTTTCATTTAAAGGGAAACCTCGGAAAGTCGGGGTGTATGTAGATTATGAAGAAGGTCTCGTGTCCTTTTATGATGTGATGTCTCAGTCTCACATCTACTCATTTACTGAGTGTTCGTTTGGTGGTGAGATCCTCCCATACTTCAGTCTCCATCTGAAACCAGATGAGAAAAACAGCGATCCTTTGATTATATCTGCTATGGAAAAGCAGTAGTAATCACATGCACTGGTTTTGGAGCAGTGAATGTATCAGTTATAGGCATTATATATATATTAAAGTGGGAATTTGATTGCCTGGGTTTCCATATTCTTTTCTTATAATGACAACATGAATCAATGAAGGTTCAATAAAGGCATGGGTTTTAGAATTTTCTTTTATGCACTATATAGCAATGCTAGCAATGCAAATGTATACATATTATGGGGATGCACTCTAAATACTGTTAATTATGATTATGTGCAAAGGGATGATTTAATAAGGATTCTTCTCTTGTTATTGGTTTTGTTCATACAAACCAGTGTTTCCCAACCTTTTGGAACCACAGCACATATTTCACATTAGAAAAATCACAAGATCCACCACTATTGACACCCTGCCATATCTAGGTGTGTGTCAACATGTTCAGGTTGGCACGTTAAGCATGTTGTTTCCAGAGCTGCACCTTTCAACCAAATCCCGTATATTTTACTTGTGAGCAATTTGTTATTTATGCCTTATATTTGTGTGTTCAGGTCAATCAGATGTTCAAATATATCTGCCAGGTACAGCAGTCTTATACACCACTCGTCCCTTGAGAGTAACTTGACGTCCTTCTGATTTGTGAAAAACACTTTAAGTTCTTGATTCTTGCAGTCTTGGCAACAAGTACTTCCGGGTGCAGAAAACAATGCATGGCAATGACATCTAGATGTTCCTCTTTCACTCCGTTTACAAATCCTTTAGTGTGCCCGAGCATGGCAGCTGCTCCATTGGTGCAAACATGTATGCATTTTTGCAATTCAGCAACTTGTTAGCTTTAAGTGCTTTATTGCTCTTATTGGTGGTTTTCCTCATTAAAGCTGCCTGCGTCTCAGTATGTTCATGCTTGAAGTGATGGGTGTTTTGTCTGGAGATGGTGTTTAAGTTTGCTTGGAACCAGGCGTAGCAGAATGGGCTCAGTTGGTTCTCCAGTGTATGAGAATCCAAAGGCAAGATAATGTTAACTGTATTGTCATGATTTTACTTTTTCTTTTGCTTTCTTCCACTATTATTGCTAGGGCCATCTGGGTTGGAATTCTCTCTAGGACCCAGGCCAGATTGACGGTTTTTGTTTTCAGTTATTTAGTAATCGCTATTCCCTGCAGTTTTGTCTCACTCGCAGCTCGACTTTGTACTTTTGTATTTCTTCTTCATCTTCATCTTGCTGGTGGTAAGGGCAGTACAATTAAGTGGATCTGGTGGATGAGAATGTGTTGTGTCCTGTAATGATCGTACCATATTGCACCACTAGAGGGTGGTGTCATGAAATAAGAGTAAAGTGGAGTTGGTAAAGTTTTAGAGTTAGAGTATAGTTAGACGGCTAACTGTTAACTTGTTGTGTCTTCCTGTTACCTCTACGATGTAAAGTCTGTGCTGAATTCATTAAAGAGCACTGTTCCTTTATGAGGACTGGTTTATTACCGGCCGCTACTACAGAATGTAATTGTTCTGCCTGTCACAACACGCCACTTGCTAAGAGTACCAATCAGGTGAAATTGGATAATCTTCCACGGCACACTTGATGATTTCTAATGGCATACTTATATTCCGTGTTTGGGAAAAGCTGATTTTAACCACTACCTCAAGCATTTAGTCTACAAGATGCTTATTTCTACAGACCCTCCTTGTTACTCCACACATCTGTTAAACAATTTGTCTAACTGGGCAGTTTAGATACTGTAAACTGTAGTCTACATGAGTCACTTTAAATAATCCATTTACAGCATATAAGAAATATGTTTTACACAGATACACACAAGAAACAAACAAACTTCTATCTAGGGAATATTTTTTTATATTTTAACTGTGTTTGCAATGAAAAAAGAATGAAATATGTTTAAGATTTTAGTTTTATTTATTTTGTAGTTTGAATAAATCCAAACCTTAATGAAACCAGCTGTATATTGTCTCCTTTACTCTTCCTTCAGCCCTAGGAGTGCAGGGATTTTAGAGAAGCAAGTTTGTAGCTGACATTAGTAAAAAAAAAATACATTTTACATTAGCTACATTTTTAAGTGCAATAAAAGTTAATAAGCTACAGCACACTGTGGTTTAGCTATGTCTGAACTCAAAAGGCTTTAAAAGCCACCTGATTTTTCAGATTTTTTTTTGGAGCTTGACTCTTTCTTAGAATAACAGTGAGGAACCCTACAATCTGTTTCATTTCTTCATTTCACCCATGCAAGCAAAGTTTAGAAAACACTTCCTGTGAAAGTGAATTGGCCAGACACTTTTTAGCACTCACTAATGTTAAGAGAAAATTTTAGACTAGTAACATTAATGCTATATTTTTCCGTGAAGCTCTGCCTTACAGTGACATTAGCTCCACGTTCTTAGTCACTGTAGTGCTGTGAGACCAATACAGAAGCTGCTGCTGAGCTCTGTGTTATTATAATCATTTTACCTCAGATGTGTGCAACATCAGCATCCGCTATATTGAAATTAAAATAAAAGGTTTTAGCAGGTCTGCTGTGTGTCCTGCTCATGCCTGGGTAACTCACCCCTCCAAACTCTCCTCTTTCAGCATGGCAGTTGAGCGCTCCTCTTACACATTTTCAAAGCAGAAATTGGGTTAATGACAGGGCCAGTATGATTAAAAAAGCTGACCTAAACCACATAAATCATGAAGCATTACAGTTGTTGGCACCTCAGATTTAGAGATCAGAATCCACAGTTATACTTTTTATACCAGCAGGAAGAAACTGATGTTTCAGTCGGTGGCTTTCCTCAGTGTTTCGGAGACATTTGTGATTTGACCACAGAATCAATAGATCACAAGGTTTGTTTGTTTGTTTTAACTACACCTCAGAGTGCACCGTATGCTTAGTGTTAGAAGTGGTTATGTAAGCATATCTTACATTATCAGCAAAGACTCATTACATTAATAATTATTATAAAAACTGTTATTAGTGAAGGATATGCCTGAAGGGAAACTTTGAAGTATCTCCTTAAAAATGGCAAGACAACCAGAAAACCACCAGTAACAAGAGGTGGATTTGCATTTGGAGCCTTTAGGTCATTTCTATTTACACTAGTAGTTTTTATTTAATGACCAGTGAGTGAAAGGACACTAAGATAGAGTCTTAACTCAAGGTGAGCTTTGAATGTTGACTGGAAATCCAAAAATCTGAAGACATCACAAAAGTCCACAAGAGCAACGGGAGCAGAGTGTAGACAAAATATAATTGTATTGTATAAATGTAATATATTTAAACGTAAAGGCGAGGCATTTGCACACACCGAGACTAATGAGAGGAAGTGGAGGCAGCTGGTTGAGAGGCAACAGGTGGCAAAGCGAGACAAAGGAAGCAAAACTAAGGACTACCAAAATAACACAAAAAGTGACTAAGCAAAGAGACAAAGCATATAACATGCAAACATGTGCAAACTCAGTTGGAAAGAGAATACAGTCATGTGTCAGAATATAAAAGAGACCAAGAATAACTTTTGCAGGTGTTAGGCAAGAAGATGAAGCAACACCAACAAAGAAGAAGAGAGAGAGAGAATAAGATGAGGTTTAGATGTAATTTCCCTTTCCCAAATAAATATTGTTTCATTTTTTTGTATCTGAGCACACATTTACTTTGTAGTCTTACACTTACACCTACACTTCAGGTGAAAATACTGAGTTTTACTATAGAACGATTTGTGTTGCACTTACATGTAGTACTGCAAATGCTATGCAGGTAAACAACTCTACACTAAACGGAGAAATGGGATATTTGCACACACTGGAATTTGTGACATGGAATCAGTTTTGAGATGAGAAAATGAGATTTTGAGTGTTGTTGAGTGTTTTTTGTGCTTTTTTTGATAAAGTGGTTTACTCTTTTCAGTTGTGTTTTGTAGAGTTTTGAAAAACTGAACCACAGTTTCTTGAAATGTGTTTACATATTTCGTGTAAAAGGGACCAGCCAGCTGATTTGTCATTTAATGCTTGTAAATGTTTATAGTCCTCAACAAGTTTGGATTATTTTTTACACTCTTTTGTGCATTTTTTAATAAAGATAAACATGAATTATTATTATTATTAGTCAGTTTGGTTAAATATGTCAGCACTGGTATGTCTACAATACTATTAGTTAGTCTCCTCGAGGTCTGGTGCAGTAGTAATCTGAGAAAAATCAAACAGGTTCAGGTTCATTTATTCATAACCTGAAATCACTCCATCTGCACTGCACTTCTTTTTGATGATGCACTTTTTTATGCTTCCCTTTTCTTTGCCTTTGACTGTTTTGATTCCTGTTATTTGGAGAAAGATGATTGGTTACAACTAAAAGATAAAAAGAGGAAGCAAGTAAAGGATGTTGCAGTGCTTCTAACCCACCAGAGCACCAGGTGATATCAGTCCTCCACAGCAACAAGGAAAGGTAAGATGACTTTTCTGTCTCCTGGCTCGTATTTTCCTATACAGTTAATGATATTGAAATTTCATTTATCAGATGAAATTGTGTAATTTTGCAATCTTGTGTACTCACGTTTTTTCTTGATATAAGAGTCGTATTGAGATGTTAAAGGAATAACACAGATTAGTGGCGCTCTGCACATGATCCTACCCTACAGTAATATAAGAGTTACCAAACACTAATGTACAATATTGCAATGTGATGTTAAAACGTATATGATATGTTGATTTTGTTTCTGGATGCTGTTTTTTTTTTTATTTGAATGCACAGCATATTCATTATTTTAAATGATTTGTTGAGTGTTTCCTTTTAAAATATGTTAGCTAATCAGTATTGCCTTCTCTGTCTGTGTAGGTTCGGAGTCATCCAGGTCAGTGCAGCGGAAGTACCTTCAATTAAAGGCAACTGGACTTCTTTAAGTTTCTTGAAGTCAAAGTCAAATGTATTTATAAAGCACATATATTAAAAAAACAACTGTTTACAGGTGCCATAAATTTAAAATAATCAAAAAAGTTGAAAGCATAGGAGGGTTAAACTAGTGATATCATAGCAGAAAATAATTGTAATATT